ATTCTTGCATGACCTGTCGGTTGCGATCTCGCCCATTCTTCGAGAAGGGTGGGTTCATGAGTGGCCGACTTACCGTGTCATTCCTGCTCATTTTAAGGAACGCTAATTTCTTGAACTCTCTGTAAGCATCCATTTTGTATCCCTATTAAATTTGACAGCTGTTATGTTTCTAATATTTGTTATGTTATTTTATTTATTTTTAGCGTAATAACACTTGGGATACGAAGCATAATTACGAAGTTTGGGAGAGTTTTAATCCCGTAGCCAGAACGATATTTCGTCATCAAATGCGGGTGTTGAAGAGGAATTGGGCGCTTGGTGGGCAGAAGCCTGATTGGATGCTAACCAGAGTTTGGCTTGCTCTCGTGGATATGTTTGAAGAATTTGGACCTGATAACTTTGGGGTTTAGAAATGTTGCGTTTGATATTTAGTTATGTTATTTTGAAAGTCACCCGTAACGTTTATGTAACTCAGCCGCAATAAATTATTAACTAAGCCTTTTATTTAACTCAGCCTTTTACTTAACTTAGCATTTGAATTAACTCGGCCACAATATATTAATACTTAGCCTTTTATTTAACTGGGCCACGGTATACTCTAACTCAGCCTTTTATTAAACTTACACTTTTATTTAACTCAGCCACATATATTATTATTTAACTCAGCCACATATATTAGTAACTCAACCTTTTATTTAACTCAGCCGCAGTAGACTATAACTCAGCCGTAGTAGAACTATAACTCAGTCCTAGCATGTCAATAACTCAGCCATAATTAGAAACATTAAAATCAATAACTCAGCTGTAATACAACATAGTCTACATATCAATACAACACTTTTAAATCGGACAAGTTTTCACATTATGTCCACTCTGTCTACAACGAGAACATGTGTGTTCTTTCCTAGGACGTTTGTTTTCAAGTGCAACCTCTAAAGAAGATTTCATCCTATTTTTCTTAGGCCTTCCTGGCTGAAGACGAATAGACGGGGGAAAGCATGCTAGGTTAACCACGTTATCTGGAACTGGTAACGCTGAATCAACCGGCATAACTGAATTGGCGTATGCGCTCACCAAATAAGCGCTGATATAGTAAGGACTGCACAGGGATATACGACAAACATTCCTGGACTCCGCAGCTGCAATTTCATGCGAACATGGTAATATCTCCAGCTGGAAACGGCGGCATGTGCACTTTCTCCTTTCCAAGTTAACAACATGCAAAGACTCACCATATGTAACTTCAGTGTGATGAGTATCGATTCTTTGTACAGTCAACAGTCTCGCGGTAGTAACACGGCCCTATTATAAATAAAAAATGAACAATGAAAAACATTAGAGACTGAGTTATGAAATCTACTTAGGTTGACTTACTAAAATATTAAGCTGACTTATGACATCTATTTAGGCTGACTTATCATTGATACGGCTTACTTATGAAATCTATTTAGGCTAACTTATCATTAATACGGCTGAGTTATGATATCTACTTAGGCTAACTTACTATATGAAACGGATGACTTATTTAATAAGTACAACTGACTTACAAGTAGTAGTTTCTCTACAGAACGTGTAAGCATAGTTCGCTGCGTTTCAGCATCCTCTCTCCATTCAGCAAACCATCTGGTCATCATAACCCGTATCGATTCTAGTAGTCGAACAATGTTAAGACCTCTAGCATTTGATAATGCTCTATTCATTGATTCCACTATGTTCGTAGTCATCAAATTGTACCTTTCGCCTGGGAAATGAACACGCGCCCACAGTTTGACATCGGCTCTTTGGAGGTACCCATGAAGCTCAGGATTAATAGCTTCAATCTCCTCGAACATTGCATTAAAGTCAGGCATCCTGAAACATCTTGCCGCTTTCTTCACCAGACGAAATACATCTTTCCTTTTGTACCGTCCCAAAATGTTCTTATATAAATGGTACATGCAAATTCCTCGAGAAGCCAACGGATACACATTTCGAATAGCCTTCCCAATCGAGTTATGCCTATCTGAGATTATCGCAAGACCCTTGTCGTCAGGAATCAAAACTTTTAGTTCCGTAAAAAACCAGTTCTACGAATCGTCATTTTCTGTATCAACCACACCGAAGGCGATTGGAAAAATCTGAAAGTTTCCATCCTGAGCTAGTGTTGTTAGAAGCGTCCCTTTGTATTTTCCATTAAGAAACGTACCATCGACAACCACAACTTTGCGCATGAAAGGAAACCCATTTATGCTCGCGCCAAACGCAAGGAACACATACAAGATTCTTCCAAACTCATCGATTTGAAGACGAGTTATTGTATCAGGATTTTCTCTTCTAATCATGAATAAGTAAGAAGGCAAGTTTTCAAAACCACTCTCAGGTGTTCCCATATCGATTTCCCTTGCAAATTTTAGAGTCTTATATGATTTCCAATAATCCATCTGCCCAAATGAATACAAATAATAACTCAGCCAAATCACTTAAGTAACCCAGCTTGAACGTATAAATAACTCAGTCGGATAACTTAAATAACTCAGCCGTAACATATACATAACCCAGCCCATATACTTAACTAACTAAGCCGAAACGTTGAAGTTTAAATAAACCAGTCAGATAATTCAACTAACTCAGCCGCATCGTTCGATGTTTATATAACTCAGCCTATCACTTAACTAGCACAGCCGGACGTTAATATAATTCAGCCACAAAGTGTAGATATAACTCAGCTGTAACGTTGATATAAGTCAGCCATACTACAACAATTACCTTGAGACCGAACTGTTTATTGAGAGCTATTCCCACACTCAAAGGTCGAACGACTGGACCAACGTCGCCGAGAAAGTTTCTGTACAATTCTTCTAAAATATCTGGTGTTGCTTGTCGAGATTGATTTAACGCTCAGTTACAGAACATGTATGTTCTGAATCGTAAATATGAACATAGAATGTCGGGGAATCCCCTTGTGTTGAAGCACGAACTCTCCAGAGACATCCACCAACCCAACATTTAACAATGAGTAAATCTTGATTGGATACTTCCACATCAAAATCAAATTGATCTCTCACTGTAAGAAGTTTCAATCGTCTTTCCAACTCAGCTTTACTCTGGTATCGTTGCCCAACAGCAAGGTTTAGCGAAGACATCTCCAACCTTAGAACCTCTGAATCCCCCTTAGATCCGGTCCAATTGTAAGAAGTTTCAGTCGACTGGGATCTCTTTTTAGGCGGTAGTGTCGGTGAATCTTCGTCTTGTGCTGGGGACTCACCATATGAGCTAAAGTTATCATCTTCGGATGACGCACCATCCGAGTCGTCGAACATATCAAATCGGCTATCAAATTCACTGTCTTCTTCGCCTTCTTCATCTTCTCCAACATCTTTCTGTTTTTCTCCGTCCAAGGATTCTCATTGTCGTTATGTTCCTCCTCCAAACTAAAACCATCGTATCTAGATTCAACTTCTGAGACTTCTGCTTCTGAGCTGAAACTGTATAATATATTACTCTTCTCTCCCGCTCCGTCTTTCCGGCTGATCTCATCATCCTTGTTCTATGTAATCTCTACACAGAGTTCGATTTTCCTTAGGCTTAAAAATATTTGCAGTTGACGAGTATTGGAGATGTAAACTGGTGGCGTGTCGTGAGCCATTGTTTTCAAAGCTTTATTCGAGAACTGGTAGCTTAGCTGAATCTGATGGCTCGACTCATTCAATCCGTAATCATCGAGTACTGACTTTGCGAGTTCGTCGTGTGTTGTTTTCTCATCTGCATGCAGAACAATACATCCTCTACTGTCGGGTGTGNGTGTCGTGAGCCATTGTTTTCAAAGCTTTATTCGAGAACTGGTAGCTTAGCTGAATCTGATGGCTCGACTCATTCAATCCGTAATCATCGAGTACTGACTTTGCGAGTTCGTCGTGTGTTGTTTTCTCATCTGCATGCAGAACAATACATCCTCTACTGTCGGGTGTGAATACATATCTGTTTTTCTTAATCCAGTTACTTGAAACAATAATTACTGGATCCATAAGATTTTAAAGAAAGAGAAGAAGGTGAAGAACAGATAGCGTCGTCTGTAACATAAACCCTAATTTCGTTGTTGTAGTTAGTAATGACATGGAAAATAAAAGTTGACATGGATGATGACATGGAAAATCAGTAATTCAGCCACCAAACGAACATTTAAGTCAGCCACAATAAGTCAGCCACTTAATACACTGTAAGTCAGTCAAAACGTGAATACTATTTTAGTAATTAACTTTTTGTTAACAATCAGCTATAACAAAGATGAAACGCAAGAAGTAAGCTGTATCGTTAAATAAACCAGCCGGCAAATGAATGCTATTCTAGTAATTAATCTTTCGCTAAAAAGTCAGCCGTAAATCAGCTGAGTTTACTGTTACTCCACTTTATGACGGCTGATTAAATATAACTCAGCTGTAAAAACATCTCATAACTCGGCCGGTCGACAATCAATTAACCAGCCGCGATAGTTAACTCAGCCGTGTGGTAACTAGAACTCAGTCGGATTTTTCAGGAACCAGCCTAAGGATGTATAAGTCAGTCGTAATATATGACCGTAACTCAGCCGTTATCACATAAACCAGCCAGATTATTTTAAGTCAACCGTAACGATCGACTGAATTATGTTCATAACTCAGCTTATTTCTCATAAGTCATCTAGGTTAGTTAAGTCAGCCGCAACACACCTATATCTCAGCCGTAACGAAGTTCATATCGTATTGAGACTAAGTTTTATATTGCATTCTTACGTGGACCCGATTTTTTGCCTACATGGCACAAAAAAATAATGGCATTCTCATAAATATGTTTTTTCTCACAACGTAAAAAAGGACACGCTAGATATTAAAAAAAAATAGTAATAAAAAAAAATTTGTATGGTTGTGATAATAATTAATAAAATTCATACTTAGTTGAATTAACTTCCCTAACGAAAAAGACGCAACTAAAAGATACGGAACGGTCCTTTTTGTATATTCGAAACTCAAAACACAACAAATCAACTAGTAACCATCAGAAGGTTTATCTGCGGTGTTTTTTCCTTCTTTGTTGATGTGAAAGCCTTCAATCTTCTTAGCAACTTCATCCAAACTATGATTTGGTGTTGATTGCCAGATCCTGATGGTTCCGTCTTCAGATCCCGAGG